AGATCTCCTGACCCCCATAACTCTCTGCTTTCTCCAGCAGCAGCTCCGGGATTCCTCGGGACTCTTCCCAGTTCAGGGAAGTGCTGTGGGAGTTGCTGGGGTGGGGGGAGGCGAGAGGTTTTTTCCCATTCCTGAATATATCTGTATATAATTGTATATATTTTCTTGTATCATTCATTAGTGTTTTAATTAAAGCTGTGTAGTTTAGTTTTCAATCCAGCCAAGTCTCTCTCTTTTTCTCTCTCTCCTTCCCTACCTGGGTTGGGGGGAGGGGGGATCGAGAGCATTGTTGTCAGACCTGAGTCAAACTGTGACAGTGGATGTCTAAAAAGGATCCTATAAATTCATGGAAGATAGTTCTGCTGTGGATTCCTAAATGTGAGAATTCAGATGCAGCTGCTTGTGCAGGAAATCCTTAATCTTCGGTGTCCTGAAAGCTGGTAATATGCACCTGGAGAGAAATCAATCTGCTTGACCTTTATAGTGGGAATGCAAAGGTTGGATGGACCTCCAGCCCATCAGGTTTAATTGGAGGTGGCAGTCCTTCTGTTCTTAGCCTGATCCATCTGGCTTTTTAATTAAAACAATAAACACCTCCACAGCTCGTTTTCACATCAATTCGACCTGCTCAAGGCAGAGTCAGGTCACCAACACTGGAGTTGGTAAGTCACCACACACCTTTTCCCATGAAGTGTGATGCATCTAGCTCACAGCACTGGGCAGCCCAAAAGCTTTCACCATGTCTGTCCACTCTGAAATCACTCACGTATTGTCCCCCCCGAGAATCCCACAGGGCAAAACATTCTTGCTGTCAAGACACAACTAGACAGCCCAGTGCAATTTTGCCTGCCAAGGATGAACAGACATTGCACACCCAGGCACTGCCCTCCCAGTGACAGCTACCGAAGGACAAACTCTTCCTCCTGGGTAACTGAGTACAATTTGAGTGGTACAAGACAGAAAGCACAAAGAAGGGACCTGTCCCCATTTGAAACATCCAGAACCAGGAAGGCAGGCAGATCTAACCACTACTTACCACAGCACTAAGAAACACATAACTCCCAGAGTAGCCCATGGGATTGAAGCTCATGTTTACAATTTAAAGTGCTTAAAATGTATCAGTGAATTTAGTCTATGGTACAATTATAAAGAAGCCAAGTGGGCAGTAAAGGGAACAGGGGCAGCAAGACACTGAAAGTCGGTCCATGCTCACTAAAGGTACACTTTTCAGAAATCAGCAGATTTCTGTTTAGATGGAAACCTATGCAAGACAGAAAGCTGTTTTAGGGAGATTAATGTCTTACTTGTGCCATTTACCCCTGTGTACAGATTAAAGCACAGGTTCAGGAGAGAAGTGCACAGAGCTGCATGACAAGAGACCACTTGTAATTACAATAAACATAAAACAAATGGGAATTTTGTACAACACAATTCAGTGAAGAAATCTTTTAATTAAACTTGGAGACAAGACATCTGGTTCATCTCAATGACCTGAGCACACACTTCATTATATCCTTGATTAAAATTTATGTTGAAGAACTGCATCAGTTTCAGGTTTATGGGGAAGTCTGGGACAGGGAAGAATCTGGAATTTTATTTTTTTTTTCTTTTTTTTTCCCCGTATTGATTCATATCTTTATGTCCTTGGCCATGAATAGTTCTGCACAATTCAATTTAATTCTGCAAAGAGTTTGTTCAGCCAGAAAATGAAGGAATACCTCAAAGCTTGAGCTCTGCTATTTAATTTAAAAACCCATTTTAAAAGATACAATTGTAAAACAACTGATACAGGTTTCTTTTCATGAATCAAGGTTGCTTTGGGTTTTTTTTCTCTGTTAAGGTGTAAAGTTAGTCACCTCAACTCAAACCCAAGATATTCTTCACTGAGGAGCTACCAGCAGCCATCTCTCGCAACCAACTTTGTACAGAAAGACATAATCCTACAGAGCCTTTAACATCACAAATGCCTCCTTCCCGTCCTTATTTCATTTTTTCTTTGAACTTCAAAACAGAAAAACTCTAAAAGTAAAGTGCTGTGTCAGAACACCATTAAGGTGGCAAGGTTAAAAAAATCTTAGAAATACAAAAGTTAATGTTCCACTAGGCACATTAATTCCAACA